GGGGCTGAGCCGAGCCGGGCAAGAGACACCGGGGCCAGAGCCTCTTGGCCTGGGCCGGCCGGCCGCTGGAGGGAGCCGCTCTGCCAGGGGGGCCGAACTGGGCCACACCGCACCCCGCCCCAGCTTACCTGCTGCCTCCCTGTTTCAGGCTTCCCGCGAACATTTGATTCGCGGGAAGCAGGGGAGGGGGAGGAGCAGGGGGCGGAGCGTTCAGGGGAGGGGGCAGAGTTGGGGCAGGGACTTTTGGGAAGGGGCGGAGTTGGGCGGGGCCCTGTGGAGTGTCCTCCTTTTTTAAAACTAAAATATGGTAACCCTAAAGTTGCCTTCCACTTTCAAGTTCTCAACCAGTTCCTCCCTATGGATCCCCCCCCCATAATTTCCTGCAACAGTGAACATTTAAATTGCTAAAAATTGAAAAATATATTAAATAAACATTGGTATTATCCATTGCCATTATAAAAAAATTCAATCCTGCCAAACCTAATGATAATGAATTTTACTCAAAACAGGGTAGGTAGTTCCTAGTCTTCCTGCCCAATGAAGCCTCTGCTGCAGAGTTCACCCTTTGCATGGCTCTTGCCGATGGAGTTTGTTTTCTGAACCAAAATGCATGAGCATTTGTTTAAAAACTCCAATTGCCTCAGGTGTACTGAAACAGGGACATGCACAGCTGAGGAGCTTTCTCCTTGTCACGTGGCAAAAGCAAATGACAAACTTCTCAGAGCACAGGTCCTGGGGAAAAAATATGTTTTGCAGCAAGGTAAAAATAGAACACACTTGAACCAACTGTCTGACAAGGAAAAGAGCCCTGCTCCCACTGCTCAGTTCTCAGCTATTTCAAATGTTGATATTCCTCTTGACAATACACATTTTATTTTACAGTGTCTAGTATTGTTCCTAGTTTCTTCATCTTGGTTACAAGTCCTAAGAGGATGGTGGAGAATGCACATTAGTTCTGCCTCTAATGTAACCCCAAAAATTCAAAAGGAAATGCAGATAGTCATGTTCCCCAGCTTGGGACTGGGGCTCTCGGAGCTTCTCTGCCCTAGAAAATGCCTACTCTTGTTCTAAAATAAGAATGCTTTTTTTTCTGATTTAGCTCAATTCTGGAATAAGTGTGTCCACATGGGGGTTCATACTGAAATAACTGCTCCAGGATAATTATTCTGGAGTATCTATTTCAGTTAATTTCCAGGAGTAGACAAGTTGTTAGTACAGTATATGGTAATGACATGTTAAAAGCTGTACACTGAAAAAAAGCAGGGATCAAAAATGCCTCCCCATTTCCCCCCCTCCAAACTAGTGTTTGTTCTCTGGCCTCTGGGAGCAACTTGAAAACTGATTGTGTCATGATGAAATTTGTATTTCTTTGTACTTGATAAACAAATCATTCTAATGTTTATCCTGGGAGGTGCAAGATTTAGTATGTCCTTACTTAACTCTTAATTTCTTGGCTTTTAGGTGCTTGGTTTTTGTAAATGATGGGGTAGGTAAGGATACAGTTGTCCTTTAGCAACCTTACCTGGTCTTTGGACAGTTTTTGGTTTTGGAATTTCTCAGGTTTGGGGGATTTTTTTTTTACACCTTTCATTTTTTAATTTTGTGATAGTAAATGAAGATGCAGTTTAAAAAGTTAAATAAATTGGAGGGGATAGTCAACAGGGTATTAAATTAAAGGAGTGAATGCTGCTGTCCAAGCTAATAACTTCTAAGGAGCATTTGAGAGATGCAACAAATTTAGGCTCCAATCCTGCAAACACTAATGCACATGCTTAACTTTAAGCAGATGAATTAGTCATGTTGACTTCATGGGACTACCCACATGCTAAAGTTACCATCTGGCAAAGTTCAGCTTTTGTCTTATTTCTCAGTGCTCAATGGGACTTTTATGTGGTGCATGCATGTTGGGAGGGACACTGGGATTTATATCAGTGTGACGTGTTGTATACACTCATAATGCATCCCATGAAAATATTCTGCATCAGTTTCACATCCAGAGAATCATTTCTAGTTTAAAATAATGGCAACTTCTTTACTCTCCCTATTCTTGAAAAGTGGCTTTTGCACGAGCCAGTGTCAAACTCTACCTAAGTTTCACGTTTTGTGGTATAATGTCACTTTTGGGGCAGATCCACAGCCACTTTGCCAACATTTTAAAAAAGGAGACATATTTAAACTTCCTCAGGTCAAGGAATATTTACTGAATTTTTACAAGAGATTATAATTGTCAGCTTTTTAACCATACAATATTGCAAGCTTGGTTTTCTTTACTGCTTTTGCTTGCCTTTTGTTACAAGATGAATGAAAATCAGTCTTAGAATGGGATCTTTTATGGAACCTTCATTGGGGAGAGGCCATAGCATCTCGAAGATTGTTCTTTAATCTTGCAACTGGCTCTGTGTGGGTGGCTTCCATGCAGAACCCTTTATATAAATGGGGCTCTGTGTGGGAACAGCCATCTGGTCACATGAAGCCAGTTGTAGGAGGGATCCTAAACACATGCAAAGCTGGAGGCAGAAACCTTGTTTAAGAGTTCCAAAAACAACAGGCCGCTACCTCTCAAGCTAGAAGAAAAGCTGAGACAAGGTGGATGAGGTAATAATAGCTTTCATTGGACCATCTTCTGTTGGTAAGAGAGACAAGCCACCTTGTCACCCACTTTGTCTCTCTAATATTCTGAGACCAACATGGCTACACTAACACTGCAAACAAAAGAAAAGCTGTCATCTCTAGAACCCTTATCTCCTCTCTAGGGTGCAACTAGCCAAAAGAGGGCTCACACGGTATGCATAATGCTAAAAATCATTCATAACTTGCTTTACATACAGCTGCCTAAAGCATTTTCAACAAGCATTAGCTGAAGGGTGAGTTTGAAGGGGGCAGTAAGAAGCTGTATTTGAGCTAGCAGGAGACAAAAAATAGATTAAAAATAATCCTCAAGTAACTAGCAGGGTTTCTTCAGATACCTAAAAGGATGGCAGGGCATTTCTAATGTAAGTTGTGCTTTCTCCGAACCAAAGTTATAGGTAGGATAGAAAGAAGGGGTTTAGAACAGAAGCTGGTTGCCAACTTTTGTGATTTTTACCCTGCTCTTGGCCCTCATTTTAAAAACAAAAGTTTTGAGGCCCTAGAGGTATGGAGAAAAGCTTGAAAATGTGACCTGTGTGTACCTAACATGTGCAGACAGCAAAAGGTGAATACAATGGGCTCCCAATAGATCAGGTAAAAAAAAAATCTCATGATTTACATTAAAAAAATCCCATGTATGTGAAGTGTTGTGTGGTGTGTGGGGGGGGGGGGGGGTTGGCCCTGCCCCCCTAGAGCAGGCGCAGCTTCCACATAGACTCAGGGGGCACTGGCACCAGCAGTCACTATTGCCACTGTCACACTAGGACCCCCAGAGGCTGAGCCTCAGCATCAGTGGCTCAATGGGCTCAGTGCTGCCTTCCCACCCAGTCTGCTCCTGCTGCCACCACCAGCACAGCGCCCAGGGAGCGGAGCTAGGCGGTGGGCGTGTCCTGCCGGCGCAGTGGGCGTGACCGGTCTGGGTGGCACCGCCCTCGGGCGCGCTGGGCACTGGGCATGCGCGCCGTTCAGCCGGCTCCGTTACCTGTCAGCGGCGGCGGCGGGATGGAGGGGCTCATCGAGCTGGTGAACCGGCTGCAGGATGCCTTCGCGGCGCTGGGGCAGAGCTGCCTGTTGGAGCTGCCGCAGATCGCTGTGGTGGGCGGGCAGAGCGCCGGCAAGAGCTCGGTGCTGGAGAACTGCGTCTCCAGGTGAGGGGCGGCGGGGAGCCCGGCGGGCCGGGGCGAGCTCGGGCGGAGTCGGCTGCCGAGCCCATCGCCCTCCCCGCTTATCCCGTCTCTCGGCCCCCTCTAGCGGCCCCGACCCCCTTTATCACCCTCGCGCACCCCCAGAACTGCGGGCTGCTGCTCTAATCCCCTTATTAGCAATTCCTCCAGCGCCCCCGAACCCGCAGCCTCCCCCGGCCTCTCTAGCCCCCCGCAAACCTATCGCTTCGTCCTGACATCCCCTGGCTCTCAGCCTTCCCTGAACTACCTCTTGGGAATTACCCCCTCTCACGTCCCCTCGGACCTACAGCGCCAAATCACCGGGGCTCCCCCAAATCCCTTCTTTGAAACCACTCACCCGGCTAACATCCCCCCAAACCCACAGCTCCCCCTCGAATTGCCTCCCTGAAATACCCCCCCCCCCGGGGTGGCCTTTACAGTTAATGTTTGAGTCAGCAAAAGCTCTGGGGGCAGGTAAATCAGCGGAGGCCATAACATTTATAGCTCTTTGCAAAGTGGACATGAAAATCCACTTGCCTGTCCTTGCTGTGAGAACCGAAGGGCCAGGGAGAGGGGACTTGTCCCAGATGGGTTGCTAGTAGAATTCTGCAAGGTTGAATTAAAGGGAATAGTGCAGGGAGGGATGGCTGAGGGATTTTGATATCTTCCAGTTAATGAAGGTTTGCTCACAGCCTGCAGAAGATGCTGTCAGCCAACCAGGCATGCTAAGTCACACCAGAAAACAGCACCCATCCATGTCATTTATTTCAGGTTAAATGCTCTCATAAGCAGCCCTTATAAACCGGGGGGGGGGGGGGTAATAAAGAGAAGAAACATGTTGTAGTGTAGTGAATCCCATCCAACGAGACCCCCGCATTTCCTCACAGGTGTCAGAAACAAAGGTTTTGTATCTGTAAACACTGATGAGTATATATTGGAGAAATCCATGTTGTGCATGTGTTTTGGGGGTATGTATGTTTCAGCCAAGAGAAACATTTGGCCAAAGATCTGTAGCATTAAAATCACACAACTGACTTCACAGATCACGTCTGGCAATGGGCTGTCGTTTACCTTTCTTGTGCAGTTTATCTGTGCTGGAGATCCAAGAGGACGGTGTTGTGTTGTGCTCAATCTGTACTTCCCTCTGAGAAAGAGACAAGGTTGCTGATGTGGTTGCTATTGGGCACAAATGTTATGCAGGAGCTATTCCCCATTAGCATATTTCACAACTTCCAGTGCTGCAGAACTAATCAAGGGAATGTAAAATGATTAGGGGAATAGGGCTTTTTTTAAATTTAATTTTTAATTTTTATTTTTTTTAAAGGACATAAAGTTTATTGGCCTTTAACTGAACACTGTTTGGTCTCAAAATATTTATGAAGAGCCCACTTGTTTCTGTGATGTAGAAAAAAAAAATCAGTATAACTTGGATAACATCAGTTAAAATCTTATTATGCTAGGATACTTAATAATAATCTTTCTGGGAAAATATAAATGTTGAAGAAACAACTATAAATACCACATAGGATTCTAGTTTTTGCTGATCAATGGGTTTGGCTTAAAAGTGACCCTTAACTATTGTTGTATGTAGTGTTGTAGCTGTTGTGGCTTTGTTTTGGTCTCACTCATTGCCATTGTAGTAAGCATTACTTGGCAGGACATATAGTAGGAACTTTATGCTACAGTATTCAAAATTCAGTCTTTAAGATTTTTTTTCACTTTTTTTTCTTCTTAAAATCTTTGGCAAAGATGTTGTACTGGTATGTATATAAATGTTTGTACAATTCATAAGTACATGTACAGAGCCAAATGTGGTGTTAAATAGTGGTGCAACATACCAGTGTTTTCCAAACTTTTGAAAGCAGAGATCCACTTAAGCAGGGGAAAAAAAGCCAATGTGCTGCCCACTATAACCTCACCATGTGTTGAAGAGCTTGCACATCTTAATTTATGGTATGTCTTCCACGCACTCCTTCCTCTTTTGGAAATTGTTGGTGTGTAGATCTTTATAGTATAATACTTCGTCTCCTTTCTCTCATGCTTTGATAAGCAATGAAATAGCCAGCAGTGTTGGTATTGACTGAACTGCCAGTCCCAAAAGTTCAAAAATCCTGGGATTGGTTCCCAGAACATGAGGTTTTTAAAAAAACAAAGAAACAAACAAACAAAACAAATCAGTCCAAAAACATGCTTTAAACTCTTATCATTTTTGCACTCCCCCTACCCACCTGCAGTGTTTGTGACAATTGCAGTGTTACCCACTTTCACACTTATAGTAAAGAAGATCATTTTGATCTTCTAGTGAGAGCTCCTGCAGAGAGGATCTTGAGGACCCATAGTGGTAGGTGCTTTATGCGGTAAGAGACAAAAACAACGAGGAGTCCCGTGGCACCTTAAAGACTAACATTTATTTGGGCATAAGCGTTCATGGGTAAAAAATAAGAAGTGGGTTTTTTACCCATGAACGCTTATGCCCAAATAAATCCCTTAGTCTTTAAGGTGGCACCGGACTCCTTGTTGTTTTTGTGGATACAGACTAACATGGCTACCCCTGATACTTGTGGTAAGAGACAGTTTCTTCCCTGAAGAGCTTGCCATCTAGTCTAGTGCAAAGTAAAGTGGTGAGTCTACGATGTGGGAGCTGCAACGTGGACTTGCCAGACTCGTCTCATAGACTTGTGATGGCTACAACTTTTTAATCCCTGCTGAGCTGGGCCAGATTTACACTGGTGACCTATCAGTGACAGGCTTTATAACTCCCTGGGACAGGGGTACTGGAACAACTTGTACAGTGGGGGCAGGGCTGCCCGGGGGAGGGGCAAGTGGGGCAATTTGCCCCAGGTCCCCACGAGAATATAGTATTCTATAGTATTTCAACGTTTTTTTTTATGGAAGGGGCCCCCAAAATTGCTTTGCCCCAGGCCCCCTGAATCCTCTGGGCGGCCCTGAGTGGGGGCGCTGAGAGCCACTGAACCAAAACCCTGTATATGATGGAAACCACTTCAAGCCAGGCAGTGAGGCTGCACCCCTAGCACCACTAGTTCCAGCACCTATGCACTGGGATGCCTCAGGGCATTGCTGTCCCCATAAATACTGATGAGAGTGAAGCTAAGTTTTTGGAAACAATAAGCTTATTAAATCAAGTTCTTACTTTTTGGAGTTTACACAGGCATGGGATCCTACTCGAACATAGGCAAAATCTCTCATACATTGCTGTCAGTCTCACACATGCTGAGTGTGCTTCACCTTGTGTCCAAGGGAAAGCTGTCACTAAACCAAATACAGACAGTGAAAATGTGACAGTAAAACAGGTATTAACAGAGCATTCAAATCCACATCAAATACCATGTTTTGCAATATAAAATCAGTCCATGGTCCTTACACTCCCTCACACACACATGTATTCTTTTTACATCAGTAGTTTTTGAACCCACAGCCTTCATAACCACAGTACAGACTATTCCACTTCAGCTATATTAGTAGCCCATGGTGGGAAAGCATGTTGTTATCCTGTGTGTGGACCAGACCATGCCTGAAGATGTGACACATACGTTGCCAGTGGATTTCACAAGTGTTTGTGAGGCAGTAGTGGAATGCTGGGCATCAGGATTCTTGGTTTCTCATCTTAGCACTGAGAGTAGATTGGGGACTAGTGGTTACAGATAGCATAACTAAATGTGACAACGTCCCTGTTGGGGTTGTCTGTGGAGGCTGGATGTGGGACCTCTGGATGTAAATGCGCCTCTCTACCACTTGAGCAATCAGATTTTCTAGTGTGTAAGCACTATGAGTTGTGAATCTCTGTGGCCTGACTTCTAGGTACACTATGTTAATGTGGAGTACAGCAGAATCTAGTTTGCAGTAGCCCGTGTGAAAGGCAGTGTGTGAGAATGTCTGAGGCTTGGCTCTCTGGGTTCTGTTTCCAGCTCTGTGTGAAGTAATTTTGTACAAGTTCTGTTATCTTGTCTGTGAAATGGGTGAATGATGCACATTGGTTTTATCCTCTAAAGTAGCAGGATGAAGTTTAATAATGGAGATTGTGGAGGGCACAGAAATACTAATGGCAGTCAGTGGAAGTCTGGTCTCTGAACTTGCAGTTACAAACTACAAGCTTTGGAATTATGTGAAGGAGGCAGTGTGGCCTAGTGGATAGAGCACTAGACTAAGATAACCTGGGGTTCTATTCCCTGCTCTGCCACATCCAGCTGGGTAATGTCACTGTGCCGTGCCTCAGTTTCCCCATCAGTAAAATGAGAGTAATAATACTTGCTTCCTTTGCAAAGCACTTTGAGATGTACAGATGAAAAGTGCTGAGATAGGTATTATTATTATTACTATTATTATTATTCTGCTTTCCCAAAACTGAGCAATGGCCACAAATTCTTTAGCAGGGCTAAATTTGTGTTACTTGCTGTTGAAATTGCATGAATTGGCAATAGAGCATTTAAAGTATCATCACTGATAGCTAAGTTAGTACCCATTAAAATGCATAATGTTTACACTTCAGAGTCGGTATTTTGGAGTCAGTGCAAACTTAGGCAGACATTTCTGATTTGTTTCAGAGTAGCAGCCGTGTTAGTCTGTAAGAAGTGGGCTGTAGTCCACGAAAGCTTATGCTCTAATAAATTTGTTAGTCTCTAAGGTGCCACAAGTACTCCTGTTCTTATTTCTGATTTGGTTATACTTGGGGCATGTTTTGAAGGTTTTATTTGTCAATGTAACATCTAGAAACTCTCTTAAGACTCTGGAGAACAAAGGTGAGGTTGTCTGCGCCCCTCTGGCGAGTCCTTCCCCTGGGGAGAGCATTTGCGCTACACAGTTGGAGGAAACCGTATTGTCTACCATTGTCTGAGGAACGAAGACTGTAAGAACAACACACATTCTTCCATTCTGCACCCCCCCCCGAACCCCGGTGGATAATTGTAGTAAAAGTAAACGTGCACAAACTGATAACCAAGGAGTCTAGCAGTGTGGGAACCAGCAGG